GTTCAGGGTTTGGGGTTTAGGCTTTACTATGTCCCCCTTGGGAATTATTTCTGATTTTTGTTTATATAACACCCAAGTATGTTTATTAAAGTTCTAAGGGGAGTATAGTTTAGGGACTTGAGGGTTTAGGCTGATGAGGGATGTGTGGATGAGCATCCTAGGGCCCCGCACTCCCGATCGCCCAATCACCCCTAAAATGTCCACTTCCCAAATAAGGCCAGTGTTTTCGATTGTTAGTTCCGGGTTTTGGGTTTCGGGTTTAGGGTTTAGGGACCCTAGTTGGCAGGTTTTCGACAAGTTCCTCTTGAATCCAAACTGGACAAGCAAGATGGCGTGGGACTTTTTCGTCATGTTCCTCGTGGTGATGGACTCGATCATCCTGCCTTTTCAGCTGGCGTTCAAGTATGGAATGCCGGATGATGGCTTCGATGAAGTCTGGTTCTGGGTAACGACCATCGTCTTCTTCACAGATGTAGGACTATCCTTCAACACAGCTATTGAGAACAAGCACAACCCGGGGCACTGGATCCTCTCCAGAAGGCGAATAGCGTGCTTGTACCTATATCTGCCTTGGGAATTTTTTCCATTTTTGTTTATGTAAAACCCAAGAGGATATTAACAAAAAAAACACATTTGTCTTATCAAGGTTCTAAGGGTTGTATAGTATACTGCATATTAAGGCCCCGAACCCTAAACCCTAAACCCCTATATTCTAAGGGGAGTACAGGTACCTGAGGGGCTGGTTTTCCATCGACTTCTTCAGCACGGTGCCGTACGGGAGGATGGCGGACAGCATCTTTGGTGACTCGGGATCTGCTGGCGCCGTGCGTCTTCTCAAGATGCTCCCTGTAAAGATTCTTGAGAATATTTCTTTTGTTATTGTTATCTATTTTTGGGTACGGCAATTCCTTAGAAGCAGCTAACATTACAATTTTTGGCTAGGGTTCCAAGTTCAGTATAGGCTCTAAACCCTAGACCCTAGACCCTAGACCCTAGACCCTAAACCCTAAACCCTAAACCTAAACCCTATAGGCTCAAGTTCCTGCGCATCATGCGGCTGATGAAGATGCTCCGCATGTCGAAGCTCAAAGCCGTGTGGGAGCGAGTGGAGGTGCGAATCGGCTCCATCGCAATCATCCAAAGCATCTAAGCTGCCCAGGGGTTTAGGGTGTAGGGTTTAGGGTTGGTTCAAGGATCCCTTGTAAAAAGTAGCCAACCCTTTAAAAAGGGGTGACCTTAGTATACTCTTCCTTTATGGTCCCTAAAATACGATACCGAAAAAAACGACCGCAGAACCCGGTTCTAATTCTTAAGGACCCTATCAGTAGTTACTCTTGGTAGTGGGCTACCAAGGCATCAGCCCTAAACCCTAAATCCAAACTCTAAACCTATATTCGGGTAATGGGCTACCAAGGCATCATGCTCATGAAGGTCCTGGCCTTTGTCATCGCCATGTGCCATTGGAACGCCTGCCTCTTCTGGGTGCCTCGGGCGTCACGGGCGTGGGGGTCAGTTACTGTAGGGGGTCGGAACAGACACTGGTATTCCCTTAGGGTCCCTGTATAACTACAGTATAACAGTTGCTAACAGTATAGTATTCCGTCAGGGTCCCTATATGATTATACTGTTCTAGTTAGTATTAAGGCCTCTATATCTACATCCCCCTTGGGAATTATTTTTCATGTTTGTTTATGTAACACCCAAGAGGATATTAACAAATAATAACATTAGTGTTATCAAGGTTCTAAGGGGAGTATAGTATAATCAATATCAAGGCCCCTAACCCTAAACCCTAAACCCTAAACCCTAAACCCTAAACCCTAAACCCTAAACCCTAAACCCTAAACCCTAAACCCCCTATATTAGTTACTCTCGATTTCAGGTTGGTGACCCTAGGCTCCAGCCTAGGGAGAGCACCTGTAGAAGCGTGCGCCGAGTTGGCAAGGGTTTAGGGTTTAGGGTTTAGGGTTTAGGGTTTAGGGTTTAGGGTTTAGGGTTTAGGGTTTAGGGTTTAGGGTTTAGGGTTTAGGGTTTAGGGTTTAGGGTTTAGGGTTTAGCCCTCCACGTATTCTTGCAAAGCTTGACGTGCGGTGCCTTTGCTGGTCTTGAGCTTCAAGCCGGCCTTTCTACTGTTCTGGGCCCGGCCCCAACGACACAGAAGCAGGAATTCAATTCTCAAAGCCCTTCTACCCTAGGGTTTGGGGTTAGGGTTTAGGGTTTAGGGTTTAAGTTCTAAATTCTAAAGCCCCTCAGCAGCTTCCTTGGGGGTTGCCCTCGGTGGTTATGGCGCCCCGTATTCAAATAGGAGCCCCAAAGAGGTATCAGTGAGGTGACATGATACAGGGCAGGCCCCCGCATGAAAGAAGAACGTCAGACACCGAGGTCATCGGCAGCAGGGACACTTGGACAGTATCGTGCTGGTTCTTAGTAGGGAATTCTCGGGGGTGACTTGGTACCTTAAAGAAGCTGTGGAATCCTTTAAAGGGTTGCATGGGAGCACCTAATTCCCGATTTTTTCCTGAGAGCCAGCGGTATTCTTATTTTCTCCGGCTGCTGTCTTCCTAGAACCCAGAGTAGGCCCCTTTTCAAACCCAAAAGGGCACCCTGTTCATTCCTAGATTACTCTTGGGGTCACCCCAAACCCTAAACCCTAAACCCTAAACCCTAAACCCTGCTTATTCCTAGGCTACTTTGTCTACATCTAGAGTGGGTTCGAAGATGCTTCCTTAGGCAGCAAACAGCCCTGAAGATGAGCCCCACACTTGCAAGAAAGGAACTCAAGACTGGGTTACAAGGCCCCCCCTTGATATGGTTTAGGGTTTAGGGTTTAGGGTTTAGGGTTTAGGGTTTAGGGTTTAGGGTTTAGGGTTTAGGGTTTAGGGTTTAGGGTTTAGGGTTTAGGGTTTAGGGTTTAGGCTTCTGAGAACCGCCCTCTGCACAAGGATAGCCTCCTCACGGACTTGATGCCCTACGAGATGGCTGAGAATTTTCGGGGCGACCCGTCCTGTACGGGCTCAGGGTCCCCGAATCCCCCCTCCCGGGAGTGGCTCCGGTAGGTATGTTCAAAAAGGCAAGTTTGGGGGGGGGGGGGGGTTAGGGTTGAGGGTTTTGGGTTAGGGTGTAGGGTTTAGGGTTTAGGCTTGGCAGGGGGGGTGCATTTTTTTGGACGTTCCTCTGGAGCAAGGATTAGAGTATTGGGGGGCCGCCGGGGGCTACATTCGGGAATGACTCGTTAGGGGAATACCCAAATAGATTCCACAACGCTTAAGGGCATATGGGCTACCATCGAGCGCCTTCAGATGTGCGGTGGTTTCCGTCTTTGCCAGAGGGGGAAGGGAGTGACCAAGTCGCGGCTTTGTAACCCTGCGCCCTGAAATCGGAGTCGCGTTCTACCCCAAGACCCTATCCCCTGCTACCCTAAACCCTAAACCCTAAACCCCGCAAGTCTGTGCTAAAGGGTTACCCTTTCCTGCATATGGGTTGTTCTCGAAGTTAGAGTCCCTCTTGGGGCCCTAGATGTAAGACGGCACCCTTAAAAAAGGTCCCTTTTTGGGTTCTCTATCTACAGTACGACACCCTTGTAATAAGGACTCGAAAATTGAAAAGTGGCCCTCATGTAGAGAACTACCACATATCTGTAAAACAGAACCCGGGGTGTGCCCTTATTCCTTTTTTTGTAGGATTTTAGGTTAGCCCTACACCCGAAAGCCCTACACTCTGAAGCCCTGCGCCCTAAATCCTACAGGTCTGAACCACTGGACGAGCCTCCCAAGGAAAGATGGCTTGTACACAGGCGCGGTGAGGGAGTTGAGACACTTTCATTGGAGGTTTTGGTTTCGGGGTCCAGGGCTACTTGAAGGTCCAGTGGTAGCTGTAAGTAGGGTTCGAAGTAATCTAAATAAAGTTGTCATACAGGTTACCTTACTTCCAACCCTACTTATGACTAGCCAGGAGTTCAGGGCTTCACCCCGCTGATTCTAACATCATGTAATCGACATCGCCTGGAGAACCATGAGCCATGAAGCGCCACAGAAAAGGCTCGGACGTTCCAAACGGGTTGGGCCACATGGATACGACGTGAAGCCAAGTGCAAATGAACTGCGAAGGCTGCCCGTGGATTTAAGCTGTCATTTTGTAACGTGCAGCAGATGCAGGAGCAGTTTTGGACTTATCTTGTTTGGGCGCATGTTCGCTCATGGTGCTTTTCACGGTCCTGAAGTACATTACACGTCTGCTCGATGTATGCTGTTGCAAAACTCTGGTGGAGTGGGAGTGTGGATGCCTCTGGCTGCTCACTCTTCACCGGAGCCTAGAGTCAAAAGCCTCGCCCGCGTCTGCCAGTGTGAGAGTCGAAACCTAAAGTTTGCGATGTCTCCCGCCACCTACAGCAGCTCAGGAAGCTTTCTTGAACCCTAAGCAAACCCTAAACCCTAAACCCTAAACCCTAAACCCTGAACCCTGAACCCTAAACCCTAAACCCTAACCCCTAACCCCTAACCCTAAACCCTCACCCTCATGGTCCTTCTTCCCGGGCGCCCTAAACCCTAAACCCTAAACCCTAAACCCTAAACCCTAAACCCTAAACCCTAAACCCTAAACCCTAAACCCTAACGCATGAGAAGGTGAGTGGACCTACGAGCAAAAGCCGATGCTTGGCTGCTATTGTCTCTGAGCAGTGAGTTTCGGGGTTTAGGGTTTAGGGTTTAGGGTTTAGGGTTTAGGGTCCTTCACCACCGTAACCACCATAACCTCAAGCGGAAACTGCTAAAGCCCCTGCCTGCTGTGCGCGAGGGTGAGAGAGGAAGATCTAAAGTCACCAAGCCCCACCCTGAACCCGAAACCCTCCACCTCTACCCTAAACCCCAAACCCTAGACCCTGGCCCTAGTCCCCTAAACCCTAAACCCTAAACCCTAAACCCAAACCCCAAGCCCTAAACCACCGGGGGCAACCGAGGATAGAAGAGCAGTACATCTTTTGCTTCTATTGGACACTCGGGGTGATGCGGACGATGCCTGCAGAAGTGACTCCTGCACCTTGGCCACAACACTTTCTGGGCTTGTCAAGGGTTGAGGGTTTAGGGTTGATGGTGTTTGGCAAAAGGGTTTAGGGTTTGCATATATAGTGGTTTGCTTGCCACAGGTTTACAGTACTACGTGGATATGTATATACAAGCTAAAAGAAGCATGGAATAATCAACAGCTAGATACAACACATGACCTGCTGTAATCTAATGTGCTAGCCAAGTCTGGGTGACCCTCACAGGACAACGGGAAGATCCCAGATGGTGTTGGGCAGTTAGGGGGATGGGTTGAGGATGCGGGGTACGTGTGGCTTAAGCCCTGAGCCCCGAACCTTGTCTCTCAGGTAAACTTTCCGGAGCGGATCTTTGTGCTTCTCTTCATGTTCTTCGCGCTCTCCGCTTTTGCCGTCTCTGTTGCGTCTTTGACACAGGCACATCATTCTGGGGTTTCGCAGGGTTCGGAGTTGAGTGAGTTGGTAGCAAGAGAGCCGGGCGGCCGACAACTTTCAATAAGTCTGCAAATTGCCCCTAAACCTTAAACCCTAAACCCTAAACCCTAACCCCCAACAAATGTGGCCCTTGGTAGACAGCAGGTCTCCTCGAATATCGCGAGGGCTTGGGATGATCCCCCGTATGCTAACTGTCCTTCATACCGATCTATATCCCCCTTGGGAATTATTTCTTATTTTGTTTATATAAAACCAAAGAGGCTATTAAACAGATTGTCTTTATTAAGGTTCTAAGGGGAGTATAGGGATTGATCATGGGGGTGTTTTTGATAGGGCTGTTAGTACAAGGGGGACATCCCAACCCACGGCCTTAATTTCAGGAGGCCGAGGGTCGGTTCAGTCTGGCAAGTGGCGGCAGGCCTACTTCAAGATCTTCGAGCGGGGTCGCAGCTTCAACGATGAGATGTTCTTCGTTCGGATGTACCTAAACAGGCAAGGGCCCCAAACCCCAAACCCCTAAACCTTCACCCCCAAACCCGAAACCCCAAACCCCTAAACCTTAAACCCCCAAAACCCGAAACCCCAAACCCTCAAACCCCGAAACCCCTAATCCTTAAACCCCAAAAAACTGAAACCCCAAACCCCTCAACCTTAAACCCCACGCACAGATCGAGAAGTGTACCAAGTCGAAACCCCCAAAACCCCAAAACCTCAAACCCCGAAACCCCAGAAACCCCAAAAGCCTCAAACCCCGAAACCCCAGAAACCCCAAAAGCCTCAAAACCCCAAAACCCCAAACCTCAAGCCCCCAAAACCCCAAACACCCCAAACACCCCAAACACCCCAAACACCCCAAACACCCCAAACACCCCAAACACCCCAAACACCCCAAACACCCCAAACACCCCAAACCCCAAACCTTAAACCCTAAGCTCCAAACCCCAAACCCCAAACCCCCAAACCCCAAACCCCCAAACCCCAAACCCAAACACCCCAAACACCCCAAACACCCCAAACACCCCAAACACCCCAAACACCCCAAACAACCCCAAACACCCCAAACACCCCAAAACCCAACACCCCAAACACCCCCACCCCCCAAACACGCCCAAAAAACCCCAAAACCCCTAAACCCCAAAACCCTAAAACCAACCCCCCCCCCCCCCCCCCCCCCCCCCCCAAAACGATCTCACGCGGGTGGCGGCGCCGGGAGGTTTTCGGCAGCGAAGCCGCTGGAGCAGCGCGTGAAGGCATTCTTGGACCCTTTGCTTGCACAGCGGGCGGGCTTTGGGGTTTCGGGTTTAGGGTTTGTTTAGGGTAAGTTTAGGGTTTAGGTTTACCCTCAACCCATAAGCCTAGACGCCCTGAACCCTGATAAGGTTCAGGGTTTAGGCCTTTCCTTTCCTTACAATGCAGTTCCTATGGGTTCGAATCGATTTCCGATTCAGGCATTTTTGATATGACCCTGGTTCATACAATGAGCCGAAATGAGGGCTTTAAGGGTTTTGGGAGTTTGTTTGGGCTTCATGGCTCTTAGGGTTCTTAGAGCTTCCTACCTAAAGCCTAAACCCGAACAGAATCCTTGCCTACTTGAGTGCGAGCGTCAAAACCATAAACCCCGAACCCCAAGCCCCAAGCCCCAAGCCCCAAGCCCTAAGCCCTAAGCCCTAAGCCCCAAACCCTAAACCCTAAACCCTAAACCCTAAACCCTAAACCCTAAACCCTAAACCCTGAACCCTGAACCCTGAACCCTAAACCCTAAACCCTAAGCCTCAGAAGCGGCGTCTTCCGGCCAAGGCGCACCTCTTCGAACGTCGGCGCATCTTAGCGAAGGAGACCAACCTTATGGAGAAGCTCCCGGAGGTCCACCTAAGACTACAGGGTTTAGGGTTTAGGATTAGGAACTACAGCCCTAGGATTCTAGGGTTTAGGGTTTAGGGTTTAGGGTGAGGAATTTTTTTTTTGGTTTTTGTGTTGTTTATATACAACCTAGGGGAAGATTAAAACGAGTATGCTTTGGGATCTGCCTCGGCACACTAACAGTCAAATAAAGGGTTTTGTACTAAACATAGCGCAAAATTCCAGCATCAGAAAGTCTGATCGAGTTTGGACCTGGCTCAGCAGACGAGATCACACTTTGGGCCTTGGTTTGTGGTCTTTTCTGGTGCTAGTCACTGTGCTCCTGCTGGTGCTTGTTGATGGTGCCATTGCTTCGTTCTGAGCACAAAAAATAGCACCGGAGAAAGCACAATCATGAGCACAAAAAATAGCACCGGAGAAAGCACAATCGTGAGCACAAAAAAAGCACCGGAGAAAGCACAATCATGAGCACAAAAAAAGCACCGGAGAAAGCACAATCATGAGCACAAAAAATAGCACCGGAGAAAGCACAATCATGAGCACAAAAAATAGCACCGGAGAAAGCACAATCATGAGCACAAAAAATAGCACCGGAGAAAGCACAATCGTGAGCACAAAAAAAGCACCGGAGAAAGCACAATCATGAGCACAAAAAAAGCACCGGAGAAAGCACAATCATGAGCACAAAAAAAGAGCACCGGAGAAAGCACAATCATGAGCACAAAAAATAGCACCGGAGAAAGCACAATCGTGAGCACAAAAAAAAAGCACCGGAGAAAAAGCACAATCATGAGCACAAAAAATAGCACCGGAGAAAGCACAATCATGAGCACAAAAAGTAGCACCGGAGAAAGCACAATCATGAGCACACAAAGAAGCACCTGAGAAAGCACAATCGTGAGCACAAAAAATAGCACCGGAGAAAGCACAATCTTGAGCACAAACAAGAGCACCGGAAAACTTCATCACACTCATACATCAGGCCTTCAGGTATGATCATGAGGCACTCAGAAATGTCCAATCTCACGGGTGCTTTATTTGGTGGGTGTGTTTGTGCTGACCATTAGTGTGCTCGGGCAAGTCATAAAGTATGCTTATTAAGGTTCCAAGGGGAGCGCAAAAGAATGGTCAAGAAAAAGCGTTTGGGTTTTTAGTTTCCGGTGTTGACTTTAGAGTTGTAGGGTTAACAGTTAGGCTGGAACGGTTTTCTTTTCAGATACAGCAGGCATGGATCCCAACGATGTATTGGAGCTGGTGGTCATATCTTAGGGTACCTGCACGGTACCTTAGTACGGGCCCTTTTTAAAGGGACCCCGTATACACCCTATACAACCCTATACAACCCAAGGGCCATACTTCAGAACCCTTTAAAGAGGGCAAGGGACCATGTTAACGGCCCATGTTACTTACCTAAACCCTATAAACCCCATCGACCCTTTTTTACCACCTCGAAAAAACTATAAACCCTCTCAACCCTAAAAACCTTATAAACCCTTTAAACCCTGAACCCTAAAAACCCAATTAAGGGACCACATGCTTAGATCATAGGCAGGGTCATTGAACTATAGCCCCCCTTAGAATTTATTCCGTTTTATTTATATGGAGCCCAAGCGAATATTCAGAACACCATTATTATTAATATTTTTGTTATTATGATTCTGATTATTATTGTTATTGTTATCATATTTATTTATTGTTATTGTTATTGTTCTAATTGTTAAGGTTCTAAGGGGGAGTGTAGAGAAAGGGTCGAGGAAATGCGACCTGTTTGGCGATCCCGACCTTCGCCTCACAGAGCAGTTTTGTCTCTGCCTTCAAATTTGTTTTAATGCGCGCTCGGTAACGGCTAAGTCCTGGGGTTTTAGGGTTTAGGGTTGAGGGTTGAGGGTTGAAGCCCCTGAGCCGTAAGCCCTAAATCCTAAACCCTAAACCTCGACAAGCCTTAGCAAATCCGGAGAACTCGAAGTTGCTTTCACGCAGTAAGCCTAAACCGTAGTGCCGAGCTCTTGAAGGCTGCTTGTGGGCGAGGAGTGTCGGGTTCAGGATTCACGGCCCAGATTTCTGAGTGAGGGTTTCTCTCTCTCTCTCTCCCTCTCTCTCTCGCTCTTTCTCTTTCTTTGAGGTCACCCTTGTGCTCTTCCCCTGTCTCGCTCCCTCTCAGCCGCCCTCGCTCCGACGCCTCTCTCGTCCAATGTGCCACCCTTTGTTCTCAGAGTCGATCCCCTCCCTTGCCTCGCAGCCCTCCATCATGGCCCTAAGCCGGTTTACACGAGCTCCGCATAATTGCGGGTAACCCTTCAAGCGGGTGCAACATTAGGGTTTCTAGTTTAGGGATACCTTAAGAACCTAGAACCTACTTCGTGACGCACGAATCTTGTCAGGGGCCTTATTATACAAGACATGGCTTGTTCCGACGGTAGAGCACGGCCAGGTGCTGAAGAACGAGGTCCAGAACATGCTGATCTCCTTCCACCTGACAAAGCTCGAAATGATCAAAGACCTAGGTAAGGGTGCCATCCAGGAAATTTGCGCCTCGGCCTGCAAAAGCCCCACCCTCTTGGTTTTAGGGTTTAGGATTTAGGGTTTAGGGTTATCGTATACATGTTCCCCTTGGTACCCTAAACCGATGGAGCTTTAGTTGGATATCTTTTAGAGGCTTTTACTTGAACTACAGAGCCTCCTCTCTTTGAGGTTTGTTCTGAGGTGTCTGGGGCTCTTCTAGGCCGACGTTTCCACTGGACGCCATTTGGGCTTTGCGTTCTTTTCGGGGGTACCATATCGGGGTCCTGTATATATGGGGCTCCTAATATTTGGGGTCCCCCATCTTCGTAAAGCCCCCTGTCAGCACAGGTGCGGCATCCCACCTACAGGACCACATGCCGGGTGTGGTTATCTCCACCATGGGTCAGGCGGGCTGGCTGTTGCTTCTTTGTTCAGGGTGTTGTACTGCCCCTCACCCCAAAAAAGCCCCGAGTGTAGAAGACGAAGAGTCGACCCTGAACCCAACAAGCTCTGAGGTTAGCTTACGGTATACCTTCTTTGTTTTTTCCCATAAGCCCTTGTCCACCTTACAAAGGGTTTAAGTTTCGGAGGCTGAAGGTTAAGTTGGGTTCATGGTTGAAGGTCCCAGGTGTGCTTCCTGTCTAAAAAAAGCGCCAATGCTCCGCAAGCCATTGCCTCTCACCACGTGTGCCAAGCATCGAACTATCAGACCCTATATCCAGTATTGAAGCCTGAGCACCCACCTCAATCCCAAAACCCTATATATAAACCCTAAAACCCTAACCCTTATCAGACGGGTGGCAGCAAACACCCCAACCCCAAACCGACGGAGGTCGCAGAGTTCGCGTGGATCAAGTGTTCGGGTCGGCTACAGCTTCTTGATGCGCCAGGGCAGCAGCCGGACGGCGGGGTTGATCTCGAGGGCGTTACTTTTTTGTTTTAACAATAAGCAGGTATAGTATGTGCTAAGGAAGTCAGTAAGTAAGGGTAGCGCAATGTGGCATGTGTGATCCTCAATTCTACCCGTAAACCACTTAAAATCCTAAACCCTACCAGCCGCCTAAACCCTAAACGCTAAACTCTTCTTGAGGTACGTAGGGCCCGTAGGGGCTTTGCTTCTGTTGGCCGTAGCCTCCGCGGAGATTTATGGAGTTACGTACAGGCTCTTGAGGGCTGCCCCGGGCATGCGGGGTTTGGGGTTTAGGGTCTCTAAACCCTAAACCCTAAACCCTAAACCCTAAACCCTAAACCCCAGTTTTCAGTGATGCTCCGGCGCCGGCACCTCAGGGAGCCCGGGCTCAGGGAGGGTTTAGGGTTTAGGGTTTAGGGTTTAGGGTTTAGGGTTTAGGGTTTAGGGTTTAGGCCGCTTGGTTCCAAGGGTTTAGGGTTCTTGGTGGTCTCCTTTCATGGGTTCCCTATTGAAGCGGGGAACCAAGGGGGGGTAGTATAGAGGGGGGTTCTAGGGAAACCCATGTTTCTTAGGCCTGGATGCACAAAGGGTTCTTGCTGCTTTGGCTAGCGGGGCCACAGCTCTTAGGGACGGTTGGTCTTCTGATTTTGGGGCATGGCTTATAGAGGGGCCTTAAGAATTAGAATACTTAGAATACGGTCCTTTTGAGTCTTTTTTGTTGGGGGGGGGGGGTTATTATAGTATAGTTATAAAGAACCCTAAGCCGAGAAGACTACCTCGAGTTGGACTCGATGTTGTCTTGTGTGCTTCCATCTCTTTGGGTCTAGGGTTTGGGGTTTAGGGTTTAGGGTTGGTAGAATCTTGCAAACAACCGACACCCGTGAAACGTTCCAGCTCGGGCAGCCCCAATCGAGAACCCTGAACCCGAAACCCTACAAACCTCAGAGCTAGGGTTTAGGGTTTAGGGTTTAGGGTTTAGGGTTTAGGCATGTTTCAGGAGAATGGCGACAGACTCATGAGCGGAGAGGAAGGACAAGGACGCAGTGGAGGCCACACCACCTCCGCCCCCCCCCCCCCTGAGGTTGAAAGGGGGGCTCAGGACTTCGAGTTCCATTGGGCGAGGAGTTTCTAAGTCTGTCGGTAGGGTTTTAGGGCCTAGGTTGCCTTTAGTCTAGTGGCACAAGGGTTGAAAGGGGGGCGGGGGGCCCCAAATCCTGGCAGAAGAATCGGGCAAAGAGCGGTCCAGCCTGGTAGCTCACCTGATCGAATCCTGGATGTTGTGTTCCAAGCCTCTTCGGTTTTGGGGTTTCTTGGGTTTTCTGGTTCTGTCATGCGTTCAAGGCCAAAGAAATCGCAAGCAGTATTTCGGCTTGCATCCTTTGGGGGGGATGTTTGGAGACTCCCATGGGAGTAGCAGGCCTTTCCCGTGCCTGACCACGACGCTTCTGTTCGATTGCCCATGGGGGGGGTTGTTCGAAGTTAGGAGCCCCTTGATGGGTACCTTTTTTATTAGAAAGCCTGAGCCCCAAGCCCCTACAGGAGCCTCAGAAGGACCCCAAATCTAGCACGGGCTATGGTTCAGGGCTTAATCTTCTTGCCTAAACCCTAAACCCTAAACCCTAAACCCTAAACCCTAAACCCCAGGCTAACCCCAGGGCCTCTCAATATCTACGTTGTGGTCAGCCTCAGCCCCTAAACCCTGCCAAGAGTGACCTGCACGCCCTTCAGTAGCAAATCGCCCTGGGACCCCATAGGGTTTAGGGTTTAGGGTTTAGGGTTTAGGGTTTAGGGTTTAGGGTTTAGGGCTACATGGCAGCACGCCAGGCCGAGCCGTGGCTCCCTCGATCGTGGATCAGGAGACGCTGACCACACCAGAACCGTGGAGATCGCCACAGACGGTGCAGACAGCAACCTAGACCAGGTTTAGGGTTTAGGGTTTAGGGTTTAGACAAAAGGGTTTAGGGTTTCGGGTTTAGGGTTCAGGGTTCAAATAGCTTTTCAGTCAAAATAGCCCAAACCTTCCATGATTACCTTAAAATAAGAGTCCTTGGAGTTTTAGGGTTTAAGCTTGTCATCTAAGTTGCATGTGCGCTTGTTGAAGAATAGCCGTCCCTCCTGTAATTTCGCAAAGACATTTTTTGGATCTGAGCTTGCAAGCTGGGTTGTTTGAACGTCTTCGCGGTCCCACGAACTGCAATAAACTGTAGTTCTTGGACCCTTCCCCAAAAACCCTATAAGCCCTATCAATGTTAAAAACCCTCACAAAACCCTATAAAATCCCTGCAAACCCTAGACTTCTACACTCTGCCGAAGGTCTCCCTAACCCTAAACCCTAAACCCTAAACCCTAAACCCTAAACCCTAAACCCTAAACCCTAAACCCTAAAGAACACGGAACAGCAGAGGCAACGGTGTGTGAGCTGCTGCAGATCAGCAAGGCCTGGGTGCCCGGGGGCTTTAGGGTTTAGGGTTTAGGGTTTAGGGTTTAGGGTTTAGGGTTTAGGGTTTAGGGTTTAGGGTTTAGGGTTTAGGTTTCAGGTTTATTTCAGGGCAGGCCAAGAAGTCCTTGAATGCGACCCGCTTGACAGCTTGCGCAACCTTTCATGCCTCTCACATCCTGAGGCCCTCGACCCTATGACTTAGTAGTAGAGTAGGTAACCTTTAACCTTTTTGGGTTAATACATTCCCCTTATAATCCCAAAGGTTAACCTTTAAAACCCCTAGGTACTGGACAACTGAGATTACTCAACCTGCACGTATTCAGGCGTCAAGGGCCGAAGCCCCCAAAAACAATACTTACTCTTTTGCAGGGGACCTTGTCATTTTGATAGCCTTGGCTGAGTCTTCCGCCAGGCTATATTCCTAAAGTTTTCTGGCCAAGATCAAGCTGGGGCGACGAGGACTGCCGGGGGCTTCCATGGTGCTGAAGAATCTATTCGGGTTTAGGGTTTAGGGTTTGGGGGGGGGGGGGGGGAGAAGGGGGGGTAGGGGGGTAGTGTCAGAACGATGGCCAGTCCCAAGTTGGTGGTAGGGTTTAGGGTTCAGGGTTTAGGGTTGAGGGTCATGTGCGCAGAGTCTGCAACCAGGCACTTGAGAGAGCCCTTGCGCAAAGGGTTTATAGGGTTTCTTAGGGCTTCTCTCTTGCATGATCTCCCCGCCCCCACCATCGACAGCTTCTGAGGCCTCAGTTGTGAGGTGTTGCACTTAGTACTATAGAAGACAATGCTTTCGATGAATCTTCAGCGTTATACGAAGCTCAAGTGAGTATCTAGAAGTATTTGTCTGTATATGGTGGTCCGAAGGAGAAGGAAGGGCATGCAGTGGGGCCCTGTCTGCACAGATTGCAGCTCCGAAGCCCTAAACCCTAAACCCTAAACCCTAAACCCTAAACCCTAAACCCTAGCTGTGGGAGGACATGGAAGAAGAAGTTCCATGCCGCTAACACCGGAATCATCAAGGCCCGGGGGGGGGGGGGGGGAGCGCGTTTACATGGGCGGTTCATGTCAGAGCTTAGGGTTTGGGGTGTACCTTGTCTTGACTTATGGTGTCCCTTGCTTCTTGAAGGCTAACTCTAGGGGCTCTTTCTCATGAGTGGTAAAGGAGCCCCTGCGTGTATATGGAAGTGGTGACCCTAGGGTTTAGGGTTTAGGGTTTAGGACCCTAAGACGCCATGCAGGTCCAGTATTCGGGCTTGGAGACGGACGAGCAGCAGAACACGGTCTGCGCATCCGCCACCACGGCCGTTCTCATGTCGGGCCACTAAGGGGCTACGACCGGGGTCGGGCACTCAGAGTTTCTGCAATTTTCCTAAACCCTAAACCCTAAACCCTAAACCCTAAACCCCTAAACCCCTAAACCCCTAAACCCCTAAACCCCGAACCCCTAAACCCCTAAACCCCTAAACCCCTAACGAAAATGCCACGAGGCGCTCTTGCACAGAAGTGGGCTCGCATCCAGCACTTGATGCTGGAAGCCGGGCGAAAAGGACCTCTGAAGGGCACCGGCAACCTCAGGCAACCTGAAATGGTCTACTTGAAGGTTCATGGGTCCTTATCACTGCATGGGGTTAGATGATATGGCAACCTATGTTACCACCCATGTCAGGTACTTGGAACCGTACTTCTTACTACCCATGAACCTTGAATTGGTCTAGAGCAAACGGTCTCCAGCCTTGCAAGCGGCTTTTATCCTTATACCCCCCCACACCCCAACCACGCAAAAATGGGCTTGCTTGGTAAATAGGTATGGGTGTAGCTTGAATGCTTCTTGTTGACATAGAAAACTGGGGGCATGACTTCCGCAATCATCTCCAGCAGCCCGGCGTATGGAACCTTAAACCCTAAACCCTAAACTGGCCCTAAACCACCCTAAACCCTAAACCCTCTATAAGTCCCCTTGCGAGTCACCCCCCCGCCCCCCCCCCCCCCAAATCCGAAATCCGAAGCCCACTTGAAGGTTGATGGGTAGGGTTTAGGCTTTAGGCTTTAGGGTTTAGGGTTTAGGGCCTCAGGGTTTAGGGTTTAGGGTTTTAGGGTTTTAGGGTTTTAGGGTTTTAGGGTTTTAGGGTTTTAGGGTTTTAGGGTTTTAGGGTTTAGGGTTTTAGGGTTTAGGGTGCTTGAAGATTCATGGGTAGTTATAAGTCGGGTTGTAAGTACCTTGATTAAGGCTATAT